TATCCTAGGCTCGGCCCAGCAACCGTCGGTTGCTGGCGTTTCTATGTCGAACACATTGAAGTCTCCTGCGATAAGAATGTGGATGTAGGACTTGTTCAATGCAAACAGAAAGACGTGGTTCAGTTTGGTGTCCACTTTCGACGTTGAGTTTGGTAGGAGATAAATCACTGCTAGCAGACATGTGTCCTTGTTTCGCCACCATAGGCGGAACCAAAGCGAATCAGGAGCTCGGATTTCTGGGTGATCGACAACTTCGCGTCGGAGGTTTGTATTAAAATAAAGAATCACACCACCACCCCTTCCGATTCCATCGTTCCGAAGCAGCGACATACTGGGTGAATTGATCTCAGAATCGGATAGCTAAAGGTTTAACCAGGTCTCTGTAATCATGACGAGGTCCCGCCGTTGTAAAGCATGGAATTCTTTAAGTTCGGCCAAATTACTTAGAAGGCCTTGGGCGTTTGTATACATACAATATAGGGATTTTGTTGTTATGAGTGCGTTGACGGATGTCAACTTTGTGTTAGTTTTTAAGCCGGCCGTTAGGTGACCGGCCATTAATGGTTTTTGGTTTATGAATTTCAGTCAAGTTGCACGGCATTATTGAGCGTTCCTGAACAGATGTTTCACTCGTGCTGTGCTCTGTCCTGTTGTGTGCGTGGGTGCTGTTGTGTCGGTCTCTCCACAGCACTGTGCAGATAAAGAACCTGCAGTGTTTGCAAGTTCCATCGAATTACTTACGACTCTTGGCCGTTCGCCTGCTGCCTTTAGCCGGATCTCTGTTCGCAACCTGGCTCGAAACTTTAACCAGTTATCCAACGAACTTGCGTTATTCCCTGGGAGTGCAATATTACTTTCATTAGTCTTGGACCGCAGCCCTTGTAGTTAGGTGATGACGGAACTCTTGTCAAGAATTTGGCAATAACATTGTCAACAGTGAGTGCTTCGCGTATGTAGTACCACTGCTCTTGCTCATGTGTTTGCGCATCGTGATCAGAAGAATGCTGAATGAACGGTGAATTTATACGGGTTAAGAAGCGTTACTTTACAAGTCCCGTTGGATAGTTGGTGGGGATAGCAACATAACAATAATGATGATAAGGATTGTAAAATAGTTAATACTTTAAATATGAAAATAAGGACTTATCGTTTGCTTCGCTGCAGTCCTGCGATCCTCTTAGATTCACAGCACTCACAGTTAACAACAAATAATTCCATGGTAAACACCAGGTGTAGGATGGAGACGTAGTGTTAAGTAACAAAGCGTAAGTGCATGAGTGCATCGTCCAACCGTCTTTTGAATACCGGTAGTGTGGGTCCAGAGACGACCGATTCTGGGAGAGCATTCCACGGGTGACAGACACGGATGGAAAAGAAATTTCTGCGGCACTCCAGACGACTGTGTTGTTCTGCGAGTTTTAATGAGTGGCCCCTCAGATTTGTATTGCTGCTGAGTTGCAGTAAAGGGCGGCACACATGATGTGGGTTTCGAAGAATCAAGTATGCCATAATCAGGTCGCCTCGTAGTCTGCGATAGCTTCCACTGAACAATCCCAATCGTTGCAGCCTCTCCTGGTAGGAAAGATTGCGCATTCCCATTACGTTCTTAGATGCCCGGCGTTGTCGCCGCTCCAATGCATTAAGGTCGTGTTTCAGCCATGGATGCCAGGCTTGAATTGCATATTCGACATGGGGGCGAACATACCCACTGAGCATTTGTCGAAATATGGAGCAGTTTACTTGTCCAAACGCCCGCCTCAACAGCCCGACGTGTTGGTTCCCGGTCTTTGAGGCCTTTTCGGATTGCCTGGAGCAACCCAAGTCATCTTGAACCAGGACACCCAAGTCACGTTCGAGAGTTGATTGTTGTAGTATATTCGTTCCGAGTCGGTATGAGTAACTGCTCTGATGTCGGATGGAAAGCACCTTGCATTTACTGACGTTAAAATGCAATAAATGTTGGGTCGACCATTGATACACCGTATCTAGATCACTCGGAAGCAGCTGTTGGTCAGCATTCGCCTGGATCCTGTGCCAGATCTTGATATCGTCGGCAAACATTAGGAAGTTTGAAGCGATTCCCTGTGCATGATCATTAATAAACACCAAAAACAAACGCGGACCTAGAACTGAGCCTTGCGGCACACCACTCTCGTCTTGTATGGGGTCCGATAAAGAGCTCCGAACTCGGACCACTAATTGCCGTTGAAGTAGAAAGTTGGCGATCCAGCCTAAAAGAGGGTCGCCGATCCTGTAATGCTGCAGCTTGGATAGTAGTATCCGGTGGTCTAGACGATCGAAAGCCTTGGAAAAATCCAGGTAGTTCACATCAACACCTTCTCCAGCGTCAGCTGCCTCGGTTCAACTACTGCGTGCAATTAGTAAATTCGTTGTACATGACCACTGTCGACGGAAACCGTGCTGCGCAGGAGTGATGATGTTGCGGTTTTGGAGATAACACACCAGTGCATCGACAACTATGGATTCCATGACATTGGAGAGAATAGGAAGAAGTGATACTGGGCGGTAGTTGGAGGGATCTGTTCTGCTTCCACCTTTGTGAATCGGGGTTATTATTCCAAGCTTCCACATGGCGGGAACTTGATTCTGGTCTAAGCAGAGCTGGGAAAACTGAGCTAAAGGTTCTGCCAGTTGGCTTTCTGCTGCTCCCAATGCTTCTGGACGAATGGTGTCGACACCCGGCGAGCTGTGTTTGCGTAGAGACGTCAGCTTTTGCAATACAGCCTCCGTGGTAAAAGTGATGTGGGTTAGTCCTGACGAGCAGAAGACAAAGCTTGGTAGATCGCTTGGTGGCAAGACCCTTTGAAACGTGGGGCCGTAGTGCATCTGCAGTGCGTTTGCTGCTTCCACAGCCGTTCTTTTTGGGCCATCAGCCGTCCTGAGTAAAGGAATTCCTTGCCTCACCTTTCGTAGGCTATTAACATGCTTGTACAGCAGTTTGTAGTTAGCACTGAAGGTTGTTGCGATGTTGTGCTGATAGGCGACTTTGTCTTCTCTTAACAGTTGAGTGCAGTGGTTACGTTGGGCTACGTAGTTGTCCCAAGTTTCTGGTGTTGGAGCTTCTCTGTAGACTCGCCATGCTGCGTTGCGTACTGTCATGCATTTTCGAGTTCTGCTCCTAATGAAATAAACTGATGTGCATTTATTGCAAGCTTTTCTCTCTGAAGCCTGTGCAATCAACTGATTGAATTGTTTGACGAACTCGAGCCAGGCGACTTCCGGGGTTTCTGCTTCGAGGGAACACCATGAACAAATATTATTTTCTTGCTACCACTATTAAGAACGCCGCTTTGGTCACCTGCTTCTTTTGGGCAATCTTTCTAATGGAGATCGGGTAATATGCGCACTCCGCTCGGTGAGTTACGAAGACTAACTAATGCACTGAGGTCGGGCGACGCGCTACGCGTTGCAGCATAGCAGGCTCAACCCAAATGCCAATCGCATCGCAGATGGAACTCCACTGATTGCGATCGTCTTGCAACTTGCCTTTCATTGTGCCAGATTTGGACTCGGGAACATTGGTGCACACGAGAGTTAACGCAGCGTGGTTTTGTCTAGCGAGTGTCGGCTTTATAGTTTTTGCTGGAAATTTGGGCTGTTTAGAAGGCACCACTGGAGTTGACGGTGAAAGCTACGTTGCTCCAGGTGTGCTCGGTACAGAAGATGGACCTATGTGTGTCGCTTCCGGTGTGTTAGTCGAGGCAATCGATGTGTACCTTACCCGCTTGTTATCTGCACGGGATTGCCTTCGCCTCTGAGCTGTCGGTGTCATGGCTGAATCTCTAGGTGAAGCGTATATGGTCGGAGAAGCGGAAGTAGGCATGTTTGAGGCTTGTCCACTTATGGGAGTGAGGTGACCCAGTGGATTTAGAGACACAGACGCTGCAGTGCGGTTGGAGCGTCTAGCTCTCTTCTTCGGCTTAGTTTCAGAGCTTACTTTGGCGGTTTGAGATATTAGCGTAGTCATATTTACCTCCGTGGGATCGAGCTTAGTATTTACCTATTTACGATTATCTCAGTCATCCTATCGCACTTGTTCATGGGCAGAGATAAACAGTTGACAACTGGAATAACTTGCGATGCTGGACAAAAGCAAAATGTGTCAGCAACTTTGTTTGTCCGTCTCACTTCTTAGACGGATTTGCCTACCCATTGCGGACAGTACGATCTAATGCAGCTGGAACAGGTTACTCCGATTTTAAAGACTTTTCTGCAATTGTCTGCGCAACATCGGTGACGTTGAACCATTGGAATGTTAGTCGTCCTCTTACCGTTTGCAGTAGGGCCTATCTGAGCGCTCACCTTGATGAGGGTTCTTTGCGCCAGGCATGACGCACAAACACGTCAAAATACGCACACGAATTGTGAGTTGTTCAACCGCACCAAGGTCAGGCGGTCGAGACAGATGGAGGTCGAAACGCGCAGACTGTCGGGTTCAGTGATCAATCGACTCGCAGTTGAACACACACACCCACACAAAGCGGCAGTGTGTGTTAATCGGCCTGCCTTAAGCGACGATGCAGGTGGAGCACTGATAGGCGTCCCTAGAGCTGTTCAGTTGATGAGCGAAGCCAAATGACTGTAACTTTGTTATGCTGAAACTTGCAGGGATGGTTACCGCGTAGTTTGGGAGCCCTCAGCTTCTTCTTCCGAATGAGACCAAAATCTTTTCCGAAAGACCGGTTTGATGTAGTTACACAAGTAAAACTCGGCAAAGAATATGCCGAAAAATGGGAACTGGAGCAAGCGTATAATCCACACAGGTTACATCCAAGAATTGGGAAGCACTGAGTAGAGGTCGTCGACCTGGTTCGAACGAGCGCACACACAATATTGTGTGGGGAGAATTCGAGTGGCCACAGAGGACAAAGCGAGAGCCGCGTTAAAGTGCGGTCGCATAACACGTCAATTAGTGTGAAAGTAGAGGCTAGATAATTTGGCAGTCAAAACTTTAGGCATACAAACGCGTTGGAACTCACTTCTGCTCCCTCTTTCTTTGTAATTACAAAGTTAGGCCGATTGGCATTTTTACGCTCTTCCCACTCTTGCTTCTTGCGTTCACGTTCTTCCCGCTTGCGTTGTTCTTCTTCACGCTTCTTTCGCTGGCGCTCTTCCTAAGAACGAACGAGAAGTTTGAAGTTGTGTGACCTGACCTTGTCCGCATAAAAGTTCTCATTCTACATCTATACTAAGCGTTCGGTGTTAAATTTTTGAATCTCGTAGGTATGGTGTGTGAAAATGATCGCTGACCGAGTGAGCACCCATTAAGTAAGGTACAACCAAAGGTGTTTACAATGAAAATTGAACATGAGATACGTCTATATTCCTTCCAGTGAACGATATTTCAAGAGGTGCGCTGGAAACATACATGGATACGAGCAGACTTCATTAGTACTAAAAAGTGGTGGTCACTCCAACTAGGATCGTTGTAACAGTCTTTTATTGCTAGACATTTCATGTAAATGCTTGAGCCGGAATAACAAGGTAACGAACACCAATGGAGGCGAACGACGAAGGTTACAAATGGATAAGGCCTCCTATCCTGCTCTAAAATGTTTCGATGTTTCAGGAACGACGAAAAGAATGATATTTATACGTTCTCAACGCAATCGACAGCAAGGTCTGTACGTTGATCAGCACATGCAATTATGATAAAAATGTGTTTGCAGCCGAATTATTAATCTCAATGGGTGCTTCGTCACGTCTGTAGCCTACTGGAGTTGCCATCTTCAAGTGTCTGGGTAAGTATTGTGGATGAAGCTCGCAGAACCTGAATTAGGTGCAGCTGAGTAATTATGACCCGTCAAAGCAATTGGCTTTTTAGAACATATTCATGCCAATACACCTAGCTCCGTACTCGGCCGCTGAATTAACTCACTGGAAGGGAATCTCATGGACAGACCAGACGCTCCGGTACGTTATGCTTTGACAATGAACCCAAATGAACAATGTGGAGATTACCTGGTCATTGTGACAACCTCTGGGACCTTTGCGTTTAGAACACCCAAAAATAAATGTACTAGTGGTGTTTTTGAAGGAAAGTTTGGAAAAGGTCCTTGCACTTACTTCTTCGGCACGGCGTTTCTGTTCTTCGACTTGCCGGAGTTCCGCTAACCGTTTTTCCTCTTCTGCTCGTTCAGCCTTGCGCCTTTCCTGTAATCAAGGAAGAGAATGAATTATGGCTAAGCATCAAACCAACGAACTTGGACTTGTGCTTATAGGAAAATTCCAGCGTTTTGGCTGACCCGTCAACGGCGCAAAAACCTTTTGGCGGTTTGAATAACAGTTCTAGCTACTGGTAACAGGTACTGCAATGGGATATTCTCACTCAAATGCACTAGTCTTCTTACTGGCGATACAAATAGCGTCATCTAACAACGGAATACTTGCAGTTTGACTCTTGATTTGTTTTGCGTTTTAAAAGACAAACATGCTGAAAAGGTGGCAACAATTTCAGAAAGCGCTGCCGCTTCGTTGATAGACCTCGACATAGAAGGACTATATATGGAGTTGAACGGCGACAAGCCTCACATCATACATTTGAGATCGTTCGAGTAGTCCTACGTATCCTAACGCACAACCAATCCGAATAAACAGCGATTAGTAACACACGCGCACAATGCGGTCTTGTAACCCAAGTCATTTGTCTGCGGATATGCCAGAGTCATAGCATAAGGTAACATGCTGGGCACTATCGCTCACCGAAGATGCCACCTTGATTGATGGTGAAACCACTGCAGAACAACGAACTAGCTCGGAGGACAAATCGACATTTGAACAACCAACGATCTACTTATCGTATGGTTTATTTATTTATTATTCTGACGGCGAATATTCAGAGTGCAAAGACAATAATACTCGGTTGCTTCGCTGAAGCACATGCTCCAGGGTCACAGCCCATTCTGCGGCATTCGCAATTCTTCATACATTATTGGTCACAATATGATGTAGACGTGGTTAACTGAAAGAACATTAATGGGGGACTTACTCTCCGTTCTCGAAGCTGACGAATCTCTTCTTCCGCCTTCTCGCGTTCGCCACGCCGAAACTCTTCGTACTCCCGCCACTCTTCTTCGGCGCGTTCTCTTCGTCTCTTTGCCTCTTGCTATGCATTCAAACAAAGCGTTTATTGTCCGTGGAAACTCATGATAACTGGTCATTGTACGGTGTTAAAACGTTGCAGATGCTTGATAGCTCAAGTAGATGCGCCACATAGTGACACGTATGCGCAGTTCTAACTGGTTTGTAGCTCCGTCATCGAGAAATGATCACACACGCACGAAAATCGAAGGGCCAGCTTAGATAATGATGCTACCCATACCATTCTGAAATACCGAGAGTACTAACTTCCTGCGGGTATCAGTAGGTTGATGTGTTGTTAACGGTATGGACGAGGTAGTGGGTAATGGACTGGTAGGCAACTTATCAACGTGCACATCTAGCGCAGTCACACCGGGAATAGCAAGCAACAACCAATCACTTGAAACGACAGTAGTAAATGAAATAAATCGAGCGATATATACAGGTATGCCTACATAGCTCTTCAATAAATGAGCATATGAAATTAATTGGTTGTCAAAAATCCGCTATAGGTTCTAGACGTCAGAAAATATATTTAAAGAATATGCCACCAACGTGAAAATGTTATCAAAGTTGGTCGCTGCTGGAGGGGACGGGGTGCACGGTCTTCGTGGCCGTGTTAGGCTCGAAGAGTGATTCCATGTACTTAGTGTGGAACGGACTACTGTCCAGCCACCGCCTTGTGTACAGTTGATTGCCCAAATACAGCGCGCTGGTGTTTGCTTGTGAAGGAGTGTGGAACGGCTACGTTGATGAAACGTGGCTCCCATCTACATACCTACCCGTCTTATTCCTTCGGGTTTACACTGGATATGGGGCATGTGCTGGGGGCTGTGGGTGGTGCAGAGAAAGCCACCCATGGTCCCTGTAGGCCCGGACGTCCTGTGGCTGGCAAACAAATCCGAAACCGAATGCCACCAAGCATGGTGTGTTTACAGGACCATAAGACACAATGCCCAATATGAAATACAACGAATGTCGTTTTCTCCAACGGGGCTCATCAGTTGCAGCTATAACGAAAATAGCCATGATAGGGAACTGATCATTGGCCATTCTTCGATGTGTACTTTTTTATCCGTTGCACTGGACGAAGGATAAGGCGGTTAATAACCGGTAGTGTTTCGGTGCAAACATCACTTCACTCATAGAAACCCATAGCTTGGAAAAGTTGCGATCAACAGCCTAATTGCAATCGAACAACTGTTGTTTAGCACATCAGATGTATAGGGTCTAGTTATAGCCTGTAGCCTGCCTGCCCAAAGCTGACCCCTAAATAATTACACAGTGTAGGCAAATCCAGTCACCATCCGGTGAAGATGTGAATGTACACCAGTTCACCTAAAGTACCGCGCACAAAGTAGGTTTAAAATGCGCGGTGTAACAAAGAACCAGTGGTATAGGTCTTACGAAAGGCCACAAGTGTAGCGGTGAAGTACATCGCCTGCAGGCAGGTGAGATTGCAATCCCTGAGTGCGCCACATTTCCCGTGGCAGCAGCCAAAGTTTACAACTCAAAACACATGCTGGTAGGTCTTGAGTTGTTACTGAGAGCACCGAACCGGTTTACATTGCAAATCTAATAATAAATGAACACCAAAGCGATCATCATCTGGCAATCGCCTTTCGTTGGTGCCCAAGTGATTTCCATGATCTCCGTAACACGACATTCCCATCATTTACACATATTTAGAATTTTTCACATAGTTAAGAAATAACAGAAGATTGCTTATCCTGGAAATCATTTGGAAGAAATCCTCACTTACCTCCATACGAATTTGAGCCTCCGACTTCCCTTCATCACTGAGGAGTGGAATAAAAATGATAGGTCGGTTAGCTGATATTGACAAAATGTCCTTTATACTCCTAGCCAAAGTATGGGGAATGTGATCCTTGTCGTAAACCGATGAAAAGAGGCAGAGGCCACTGTATGGCTCGCATGCATTAACACGACATCACCGGGTTGGGAGAATTAGTAGTTTACACTGAAGACTACCCGCAGCTTAACTTTCAGGACTAAATAAAGTGGAGTATTTCTAACAAAGATGCAATTGAGATGTGTTTGCAGTGAGATCTCTAAGGAGTAACGTATAAACTTAGAAAACTGGGTTACTTTTGGTTTTCCGGTAGTTGCAACATCCAAGAAAAACCGAACCCCTTCTTATTCGTCTACGTCCTCAAACGAGGTCAGTTGCAGCTGATGGCTTGAAGATTCATGGGTAACGGTAATCCGCCTGTCCCTGAAGTGTTGTCTTTAGTGAAATGTTTTCTGGGAGCATGCCACCTAGCCCACGACAGTGCGTACAGATAGCATGACCGCACACTTTGTCAAATGAACAGATGAGATAACTGTAGTGTGTACTTCGTTTGTCGATTGGCAAAGTGCGTACCGGTTTGATACCAATGCGTAAATTGTCACCTGTATACCAGGGTCATCTATACACAGCAACGGTGCCTTTTTGTCTAAGAGGGTTAGGTGCATCTGTGACACGTGCAAACAAGCTTCGTGCTGCAAACACTGCTATATTTTTTTAACAAAGTGCACACGAAACGGGGAAGAATGAGAGGAGGATGAGGGATTAATAAGTGCCCCAAATCATTGTACCTACTTCACAATGACACACCAAGGAAACGAACAATGCGACAGCGTGCAAGCAATTTGGCTACACAACTTACTGATCATCGTCTCTGCATGCCGAGAGTTGAATGGGTTGGGTTTTTGATATATGAAATACACAAAATGCAGTGCTTGATCGCTGAGGCAAGCCAAGTGCCGGTGAGGTTAAAATTGTATTATTCATGTGTGCGAACAAATGCACACTTAAATTCGCACGCACACGCGAATATACGTGAGTATAGCCACATACGCACACACGTACACAGTGATACGGGTAATGTCCTAAAGTGGGTTTTCGCATGTGTTAATCCATCCCTCTTCCAATGTTTGGCACCAAAGAGGACACTCGATGCGGATTGATGGGACAGAACTAAACACGGGTTACTAAAAGGACACCGGGGCACTTTAGTAATCCACACTTACAGCTACTACCAGCACAATAAGCGTACGCTTCCACTTGTGAACATCAAGTCATGTATATGGAGGGCACCTCAACTTGACCGTTTCTGAAGATCATGGAAGACATAGAAACGCTCCGGACATACACAGCGTGACTGGTATGGTGAAAAACTGTGAAGCTGTGTTCATGATCTCCACTACCTTTAAACCTATGGTTCTTAACTTTTGATTCGTTTTCCGAGCTGAGCAATTTAATGGAATCTAATTTAATACCATAAACATACTCATCTCGGAGAAGGAATCGAAACGTTAGCTACCAATCCGAGCTACAGGTATTCCGAATCGCTGCAAACCTACGGTAGGTTGGGCATCCTATTAAGTTCGGTACCCGCTGGTTCGCTGGTTACATGGACTGTAAACTCATGCTCCGGTCCAGAGGACTACGACCACACTAGTATGGGGGCGATCATCTCAGTTCTATTCTGTAACACGTGAATGCGACACTAGAGATAGATGTAGGAAATGTATCACTTGTTTACCTCTAGGAGTCTAGTGTTGAGGGCGTTTAAAACAGCACCTGTTTGACCCTTGAAAAGCATCTCTCTATTGATGTTCGGCCTGTCCTTTTACGGCAGTTTTGTGAACATTACCAACAGCTGCACTTGGGAGGACTAAAGTGATGAAACGCCGCTAGGACGGTCATGCAAGAGAGCTGTATGGATGAGGGCAACATTTTTAAATGCCTAAAACCTTTAGCTCAACTCCATCATGGCGTTGCACACACGAAGAGTGATGGTGAAAGTGGTTAACACACAGTTACGTACAATGATCTATTGGCACATCACAATAGAAAGGGGAATTGCACCGTTCAGAACCAAAACTGAACATATACCATATATCCACAATCAAGGGAAGGGATGAACGAAATTTGTGACGAGCTGGTGTGGTGGTGGTGGTGGTGGTGTGTAGGCAGCATGCATCTCAGCTAGGGCGTTACTCGCCCTACTGAGTGGGTAATCAGGATAGCCCAAGCACAGCTTCTGTTGCACACACGCACTCGGAGATATCGAGCACACCCTAAGCAGTGCTCTTCTCAATAACGGGGCAATTTGGTGAAAAGTGGTAGAGGACAGAAAGATAGATGGACTTTCAGAAGGCATAAAAGTCCGACGTACTTAAAGCCGGGTGTCGAAGATGGTTGGTGGCTAGTGCATGAAACGGAAATTTACAGTAGATAAAATAGTGATCGTAGATCTTAAAATAAAGCGGTCACAAACATATCAGAACTCGGTACAACAATGGAGTAATTGCATATAACGCCAACCACATGACACGCGCATGGTTCAGTAGTGGTGTGAGAAAGCTACTGCAAGCATGGGCCTTTTTCAAGTCAGCGGGGTGCTTTATGTAACCGGAACGTACGCACACTCCTTTGCAACGTACGCTTTTCAGCGACAGTAAAAAAGAAACCATGTTGCAGGCGAAAGTGGGTAGCGAAAACAGTCTAAGAAATCATGGACGTGGGAAAAAACAGTGACTAATTACCAACCAGTAATTTAACATCGATCATGTCCCAGGAAAATGTGCGTTAGACAAGGCAGGATAAAAGAATTGTAGAACATTGCGTGGGTGCGTGTGGTTACTTACATTTTTGGGACCGAGGAGGAGAATAGACATGAAAATAATGCACTATGGAGTGGGTGGCTGGTATCGATGAGAATGTTTGATGCAGGAATATTCCAAAATTTTAGCCGGGAAAATACATGCTCGGAAGTGGTAAGTTTAAAGCGTTATGTGCACTAATGTTTCAAATCTTGGTTGTGACTTATTAGGCGACCTACAAAATAAAGCATGTCATCCAGAAGATGAACATAGATAACACATCGGATGCGTGCGTCAAGCGTCTTCCCGCTGACTCAATCAAAAAGCAACCTAAATTTCTGCTGAAAATTATAAAACTGTGCGTTCGTGGCCAATTGTCTGGTTTGCTCTGATCCATACACTGCGTACCTTAAGCATCCTTAGCTCGACTTCCACCGACCAGCGTCGTAAGTATCTATCGGTATACCTTTTACAGTACTTTCGTCTCTCGCCCTTTTGGTTTCACTGTAAAGTGTAAGAAATGGATTTCTGCAGCGCCTGACAACAGGATCAAAACCAAAGACTGCTTCAGGTGAAATCTACGGAACGATGGAGAAGTGTCCACATGGTATTGTTCACTTTCCGTTTGGATAGTTGCTAAATGACCAGTGAGATTAATATTCACTCGGAAACACAAACGAAACTCGCGGCTAAAAGACGATGTCAGCAGCTCTGTCTGTTCCTGAGTTCAGGGAGGCCATATACAAGCAAGACTAGAGCGCAACTCCGAAGTGCCAACGATACAGGCAAAACGACTTATAACCATCAAACCGTAGTTCACTGTTGCTTGAATCCTTTTCCTAATCACAAATCGGGAAAAGTCGAAGTCTTCGAGGTTTCATTGCTTAAGCACTGATTAACTGTCGACCTTTTCTGACAGTTATTCGCGCACATTGACTCACTAGAAAGGAAACACTCAAGGCAGGACCAGTTCCCTAGAGAGATTTTGGGTGATTGGTTAAAGTTGGAGCGATGCACTTACCTTTCCTGTCACCGCAAGTTTACCCCAAGTCTATGCCAACCACTGAATGCTTTATAAAAACAATCGGGTCTACTTATGGGTAAAATGCTTCTTATGGAAAGTTCACGGGTTCGTCCCTTCAGCTCATAAGCCATATGGGACAATGACCAATACAGAAAAGTACCAGAGGATCGTTTCTCAATAGTTGGGATCTTTGGTGGTGCGCACTATATGGCCCCATCAGGAGCCGAAACCATATCCGCTAGCATCTTGCGTTATTTGCGCGCAATAGCCCAGTAAATTTACAAGTTATAACGGTCTGTCGTCGGCTACATGAATAAGCGGCATAAGCTGCCTACTAGGAATTCATACTGATGTGCTGGTCGCACTCTGCCATTGTTCTAACTTTTAGTAGCGTTTTAGATCTCTGTCTCAGCGTACACTGCTGCGTTTGGACTCGTTCAACTGGGATTCTGTCCGGAAGAAAGTAAGAAGTGCCTAGCAAATCCACTAGTTTAGCGATTATTCGATTATTAACAATTATCGTATCGATTCCGATGCATCTGCCATGTTCTAGTTTCTGCACGTAACTAAAAACCACTTGACACCTCGGCAAAACCTACGGGAAAGCAATAACTTTGGTAGCTGACGTTCCAATTCTAGAAGTCGAAGGTCAGTAAGAGACCTATAAATACAGCCAAGGTCCGCGGTAGTTGTACAGTGTTTGTTGACGACGATTAATACGTTATTTTGTCAATTTCATTGGCGTTCTGCTTTTTCCTTCGGCTGAGCTAGAGGTTTCGTGGAGCAGTAAAGTGTCGATTTCGGAATCGCGTCTAATGAGAAGATTATAACAGATTCACTGTCGCTACCCAACAGGCCTGTAGCCTAGAGGTATCGAGGTTGTCTCCTAATCTTTCGGCGCGAGTTTGAATCCGCCTAGGGTTGGGCGTCCTCGTGATATACTTATCCCGCTTGCGACTGGTGGTGGTCGCACGGCAGCGAAACGCCGTTACGGTGCACAACTGACACATTATTAAAGTACAAATCTATTACTCTACATCACCGTTTGCCTCGCTACTACACTCTTGTCAGAAACTTTGGCGAACCACACACGCAAAAATACGGCGGTCTTTGTGTGCCAACACAAACGTTCACCCACTTTGGAGAGCAGGATTTAAGGGCTCTCTATTCAGCTATAGCTGATAACAAACGGGCATTGTACACGATGACTGCAATTCATTTTGCAGTAACTGGCATCACAACTCAAGCAAATCTCAATTTCGCTCACGCTGATTGACCGTGCCTGCGCCCGCGTTTAAGCCCGCTCTTTTATTCGCGCTGCCGCAATGTCAAGCGCTTTGCAATCATCTGATCGATAATGGCTGACGCAGCTGACCGACCCACCAACACTCATTAACGCAAACTACTACAACATAAGCACGGAAATCGCACTGCATAAAGGTGAAAGCAGCGGGTTTCGGCATTTGTGCTCCCATTTGTGGTACGAAACAAGATTCAATCGGTTGAATCATAAGTCTTATTAATTCTACCTCAGTAGCTCTTTTTCTAACACCTCACATTTGGTTCCATCCCCAACTTGTAATCCAGAATTTGTTCTTGTATTTTTCTGACTCTTTATAAATACCCATCGATATTAGCCATGCCATTTGATTTCGCACTTTAAGATATCAAGAAAACAATCTGTTCCCCTGAAAACGACTAACAACAAGCGTCAGGTATCCAGCCGTAAACCGAGTACCGCTAAGCTAGGTGTTCGAAGTGTTTTTGGATGCTTCTGACCAAAATGCAATGTTGATTGCAGGAGAAGTCATGGATCCGTCTAACGAGAGCTGCCAAAACTAGGAGCAATGTTTCATGGCCTAATCTGACAGCCAGCATTGCCACCAAAATGCACCCCCTTGAAAATGAGATTACCGTATTAAACGAACAGCTCAGAGAAGTCATTCAGGTGTTGAAGAAACTGACATAAATATCATATTTAGTGAAGCTACCTGATTAACCTGATGCAAATCGCTTGCAAGCAACGGGGTGGAAGTTTTCGTCCCTCACCACAGAAATTTGTGAACACATAAATCAGGTTCGAAATGTTGTCATCTTTTATATTCCAGATCAAATACACCTGGAAGCTGTGTAGCGTGTCTTGCATAAAGCGTGTAGCCTGAGGGGAACAGATTGTCGTCTTATACGCCTAAAAAAGTAAACTCCAAGTGCGTGTGCCCAATCCCATTAGAGTTCACGGAGGAAACTCATACTTAACCACTTTAAGAGAGAAATAGTTTAGTTGCTGCTAACCCCGACTTCAAACATATCCTGATCAGATTTGATCACACGTCTCTTCAGAGACAGAAAGGTAAAACAGGCCCAATCTGATGACAAAGCTACTACCAGTAGTAATTTTAGTCCACAAGCAGATGTAAAAGTTAACCTACTGTGGATTTAGACTCGTCGCAGTTCAAGTATTTTTAGAAAAATTTTATGTTCAGTTTGGTATGACTTCGACCTTAAAGTTAGTCTTGGAGAATTCTTGCAACGCTACTGGCGGTAATCATACAGCGAAACACAATTAATCAGGGAATTATGGTAGACGACGCTTACGCTTCAGAGACCACAGGAAGCAGAGAAGTGACTTAGATTGCTCAGACGGGAGCTAGCGTGCATGTCACTGGTTGCTGGTAAGATACCAACGTAAATCAGACTAAGACTCCTAATCAAGAAAGCAAATTCGGACGACAACATAAACTGAGAGCAAGTCAGAATAAAAACAAAGCTGGAGAGTCACTTTACCGCAACACTGCTATTTACCTGCAATCTACTTGTGACTGATAGAAAACAGATCAGTAATTCCATGAAGCTGAGATGTTGCACGAAGAATACTCAATTAATCAGTTGCAAAGTTATTCTTTCTAGCGTCAGAGGTCACCTCCGGCTATAAGTAAAATGCTTCCGTCACCTACGCCAATAACTTCGATCCGCTTACCTCAGCTGTGCGCGGATTGGCTACCACTCACACCAGCCAGCCAATCATGTGACACACGCCTCCGGTCGCGTAATTCGAGTTCCGTGAGTCTTGTACCTTCCTCAATTAATTGATAAACTTGCTGCTCTTCAGAAGTCTTCTGCTAGCTCGGATTAGGTGTCTCGGAGGCGTAAGTTAAATGCTTAGCAGTACTACGTTTTAGCCTCCCCACCACCCTTGGGGAAATTTGAGGCAGCCACTTAACCATTATCCTGCGACTGTCGGCGGTTTTTAGTTCTATCACCCTGTTCATCTATCGCATTCTCCAAGAACATCATAATCACGGATATTTTCTCTCTGTCTTTTGCCGTGTACCCTAAATCCGCAGCGTCTTACCAAATTAAATTCGCCAACTTTTTTTCTAGGCGAATTACCATACAACGTGTGACCGCCATAGGTGAACGACCAAAGTTAACCCCAATTACAGGCTCTGGCCCCAGCAAAACATATCAATTAATACAAATCTAGCAGCCGCCAGTTAGAGGCAACATCAGTCAAGAACACTGTGCCACATTTAGATATATCAAACCTTATGTCACCCTGCGGATCGCTAGGTATGTGGG